TCTCTGGGCACCCACACTCAAGTATGCATGCACGTACACACCCAATAGACATAATTTAAAACACCAAATCTTCAAAGGTTTCTACATAGCTAGTTTGAAGGGGGAAAACAAAGCAGGGCTAATCCAGAAGCACACACCTTTACCTGGGAGGCAGAGGCAGGTGGATCTTTGCGAGTTAAAAACTAGCCTAGTTTACACAATGAGTTCCAGGTCAGCCAGGGCTACACGGAGAAACCCTGCCTCAAACAGCAGCAGAAACGGCTCAGTGGGCCAAGGTACAGCCAATCCTGATGGTGTGAGTTTGATCCCTGGATTTCACTGGCTCCTGTAAGTTGTCTTCTGTTCTCTGCACGTGTACCATGGCATACATGAGCATGCATGTGGACACACACAGCAAATACATGCCAAAAAGTAGATACAAATCACAGAGAAGTGGGAGACATCAGTGGTAAAGAACACTTGCTGCTTGTGCAAAGGACCCAGGGTCAATCTGAAACACCCGAATGGTGGCTCACAAGCACCCCTAAGCCAGTTCTATAGGATATAATGGTCTCTCATGATCTCCATGGAGTACCAGGCACACATGTGGTGCACTCACATACATGCTAACAAAACACCCACATAGGAAATACATTAAAATTAAAGACGTTAAAAAGGCAAAGTTTCCCAGACTTAGGATAACTTTATACAGTGGGGGCCTAGGTCCCCACACCTCCCTGCACCTGCCCTACTCTCTGGCACTGTAAGGTACTACCTCAGGACACTGAGCTGTCCTCTTGAACTCAAATGGCCCAGGAGGCAAAGCCAGGTGACTCCTAGTTGGTATAAAATCATTCCATTCCTTTTCAGGTGTACAGTTCAGAATTCACTTGCCATGTTTCTGTCCCTTTTTTTTTTTTTTTTTTTAGATTCATCAATTTTATGTGTGTGAGCATTTTGCCTGCATGTAAGTCCACCATGGGCATCAGAACTCCTGGCGCTGGAGTTACACATGGCTGTGAGCCACCATGTGGGTGCTGGGATTCACACCCGGTTCTGTGTAAGAACAAGTGCTCGCTCGCCACAGCTGAGCCATCTCTCCAGCACCACCCCCAAGAGTCTACTCTTTATTAAAATGTTCACACCAATTCCAGGCTGGTAAATCCTCTCCTGCACCTTGAGAAGCCCTGTTACTTTGTCCCAGGTATGGTGATTGGGAGGCCCTGAGACCCAGGAGAACCAAACCCTGGCGGGGGCTGGTGACCAGATGGACTCCCATTCACACCCAGCAACACAATCTCCCGGTGGCCCCAATGATCCTCTGGGGTTCAGCACACCGAAGGGTCTGCCTGGCTTACATCCATTCACCTTCCTTGGCAAACAACAACAAAACCCACATCCTAGTTTCTACTTGGGGAGTTCTCAGTCAGTGTGGTTCAACTTGGGATGCCCAGGAGAGTCACCTGTGACAGGCAATAATGGTCTCATCAGCCTGTGGGGAGAGGGGCACTGGTGTTCTAAGAGCCCCAAAGAGTCCCTTTGGGTTCAACCACAAGCTTTGAACTACAGTGCCCACAGGCCAGGCACTCAAGGACTGGTTCCCTTGAGACACATTGTTTCCTGAGGCCATGGGGTCACGAAGCCCCGGGAACCCATCCTGGATCTACAGGCAGAGACAGCCACGACTCTGCAGATGTCCAAGCTAAGCTGTGGCTTCGGTCACCTTCGGGTGAGAACGTGAAGGGGAGGATGGGGGTGTCCCCTGGAGAAGATGGGGTGAGAGGACAGCCAGCACCTAGACCACCTGGTGCCTCTATCCTGGGTCAGCCCCACCTTCCAGCCTGGACTTAGGAACCCTTGCTTCCCTAGAAGGAAGCCAGGTCATACAGGCAGGGCCATCACAGGGTGTGGGGTCAGGAGCAGGTCAGTTCTATGTTTCTCCACCTTCCTAATGCTGCTATCCTTTAACACAGTTCTTCATGTTATGGTACCCCCCAACCATAAAATTTTGTTGCTACTTCTTAACTATCATTTTGCTACTGTTAGGAATTGTAATGTAAATATCTGTTCTACGGCTGTCTCCAAAGCCAGCAGACGGGTAGTTAATGGACCCAGACACCGAGCCACGGGACTTCCCAAGAGGTCAGGCCCCAGGAACATGCAGGGCTCTCTAACCACTTCATGACACATCTAGAAACTAAAAGTAAACAGAAGAAGTGTGAGGTGAGGGGACAAAGGCTAAGTGAACAACAGGGGCCTGAGAGTCACAAGGGCCTCTTCAGGATAATGCCCTGAAAAGATCAGGGCCACAGTGACCTCTAGCAGACCCCAAGTACCATCCCAACACTGCACAGAGGTGACACATCCTCAGGGCCAAGACAGCTGTGAACTGTTAAGATCCCAGTAGAAAAGAAGTATCAAAAAGAAGTGTCCAGCCAGGCAGTGGTGGGGAATGCCTTTAATCCCAGCACTTGGGCAGCAGAGGCAGGCGGATCTCTGTGAGTTTGGGGCTAGCCTGATCTAAACAGCAAGTTCCAGGACAACCTGGGCTACACAGAAAAACCCTGTCTTAAAAAACTCTAAACAAATAACTGTCCAATTCCCAGAAGGCACAAGGCCTCCTGATGTCTCATTTCCTTTGCTCTGCATCTATTGCTTCCCACGCCTTGGAAGCCCAGACTCACTCCTCCATCTTCTGGCCACAGAATACAGACATGCTTTGCAACACTGGATAGGAAATGGTCTCTTAGGGTGATGGGGTGAAGTCTGAGCAAACAGCCTCCGTTTAAGGGAGCTCCTCATGAAATGGGGAAATAGCCAATATACTGGTAACTTTTCTTACTCGCCCCTCTGGGGTGCTCTCAGTCTTGGCCTGGGGAGTTTTGTGCATCCTTGGCGGGGGGGAGGTGCAGCACACCTTTGACATACTCTAGTGTCATCTGTCAGCAGATTTTGCAGGTGCCCCCACTCAAAAAAGCCACATGATCCGTGCGCACACTGGTTCCTGTTGCAGCCCTGGGCAGTGGTTCAGGGATGGCCTGCCTTCTGCAGAGAAAACGGGTAACAGGGAGGACAGAGACAGACGCCCACATCCTTCCCCTTGCCTACCAGGTAACTGAGGTGATGGATCACAAGAAACTGGAATTTTCCCAGGGGTCCTCACACCCGAGAAGGGAAAAGCTGAGGCCTGGTGCCAGTCGGAGGGGTCTGGCCGCACAGGAGCCGGAACTGCACACAGTGATGGGTCAGTGACGGGCAGGACCACGCCTTGACCAGACCTGCCTAGCCATGCATAACTCTTGCCCTCTATTTAAACCTAAATTGTGTGTCAGGAACCCAAAGGTGGGCTTGAGTCACTGTACCTCTATGTAGTGGAAGTTTGGGTTTCTTTAAAAACTCAGTTATGTTAGGTAAGTATGTTTTTGTTTTCATCCCAAGTATGGGATATTGGGCTGCCTTAGTTTGTCCATGGCTGATAAAATGCCTTATTCTCAGTGGGTAACAGCTGGTAAGAGCCTCGTGGGCTGGGAGAGGTGAGCGGTCTTTGCCAGCTGGAGTTAGTGGAATTCTGAGGACTCTGGGAGGCTATAAATATGAGATCTCAGAGAGCGAGGGCTCTGAGGAGGCAGACGGGCAGAGAAAGAAGGTTGCCGGTTAGCTGGACTGCTGGCTATCCTGGGAACTGAGATTGGTATTTTCCCAAAGAAGCCGACGGCCCTAACCAGCTGGAACTAAGTCTAAAGAGGTCCCTTCCCTTCTAACCTTCTTTCTCTCCCACCTATGGCTGGGGCTTGGAAGGGAGGTAGAGGCTTAAGGAACCCAAATAAAATAAAGGTTAAAAGCTAACATCTACACCTCTGTGTGCACACACATGCACGCATGCGTGGCGTGCGAATGTGCCTGTGTGCACACGCAGGCACGCATGCGTGGTGTGCGAATGTGCCTGTGTGCACACGCAGGCACGCATGCGTGGCGTGCGAATGTGCCTGTGTGCACACACACATGCACCCATGCGTGGATGTTTGATGTGTGCACGTGTCTCTGTGCCTGCTTATGTGTGCGCGTGCGTGTGTAGGTGCTAGTTTTTCAAACACTGCTTTATTTGGGGGTTCCTTAAAGCTTATGCCTCCCTTCCAGCCCCCAACCCCAGCCAGGGGAAAATGGCGGAAAAGAAAAGGGGACGTGGTCCTCTTTACTTCTTCCCGCTGGGTAGGGTCATAGGATCCTTTCAGGGACAATACCAATATCCGCCATCAGGAAATCCAGAAGTCCAGGGAACCTGCAGACAGCAAACAGCAAGTAGTCTTCCTCCTCCTCCAAGCCACCGAGTCATCTTCTTCTGGGCTGTTGTATTTATACCCCTCCAAGTCCTCAGAACTCAGCTAACTCCAGCTGGCAAAGGCCACGATCCGCAGGAGACAGTTAACAGGTGTGGACAAACTAAGACTGCCCACCTGGGATTAGAACAAAACCATTTTACATATCATAAACCAAAATGTCCACAGCTTGCATGAATCTGTGTGTGTGCATGTGGGCACATGTGCCAGAGGGAGGCATGAGAAGTTTGGAGAGCAGCTTTTGGGCAGTCGGCTCCCTCCTTCCACCATGGGTTCTGAGGCTCACTCAGTCTGTCAGGCTTGTGTGGCAAGCACTACCCACGCCGAGGCCCCTTGTTGGTCCACTCTGGACCTTGTCCCTCTGCTGATGTGGCCACTCGTCATTATTCTTTGCCTCCGCCTGTTGTAAGTACCGTGGTCCAGGTTCCAGCATGTCAGGTTATGTCCTGACTCCAGGAATAGCCACAGTGGGAAGAGATGGAATAGGTCGGAGCCTGATGTGCTGGAGCCGGTCTCTACACACAGCTCCTCCCATCAGATCCAAGCCTGGGAAGCTGGACCGGGCTTCACTCTCCAGGCTTCAATGGCATAGGTGAGGTGCCATCTCAGGACCCCCAGCTTGCAGCCCCTGTTCAGATGTTCTGGGGCAGAGCCCTCCAGCCACAGCCAACAAGACAAGAGAAGCACATTTCCCTGACACTTTATTGTTTACAAAACAAACGAAGGGAGGGAATGACACAATCACTGTGCTCATGTCAGGGAAAGGAGGGCGTGTTCAGGGCTCCTCCATGAGGGTCCCAGGCCTCTCTCAGCCTCCTTCATTTCATCTCTTTCACTTCAGAATCACACAAACCCACACAGCTGACACACATCGAGGAGGTAAAGATGTCACCACAAGTCAGCAACAGCCTGCTGGGCAGAGGGGAGTCAGGCCCCAGTGGCAGTGGCCTCCTAACTTCCCATGGAAGGGGTCTGTGAGGGCCATCAGGGTCCTCTGCCCACAGCAGTACCTGTGTCCTATCCTAAGGGTGTTGCAGGCAGAGGTGGCTGCTACCTACAGAACAGCCTCTGAGCCTGACTCTGCTGCCCTTGCTCTCTTGAACATGGACAGAAGGTGACAGCAAAGAGCAGTGAAGCTCCCCAGGAGAGGGCTGCTAACCACCCACCAGGAGCCCACGAGAAACAGGGGCACTGGGACAGTCTGTAGTCAGGGGCAGGCCTGTTGGGACCAGAGCCCTCCCTCAGCTGCTGCTGAGAGCGGAAAGCATGGCAGCTTTGGGAAGCTGCTTGATGGCAGAAGCCAAGGATCCAGAGACCCTTTCTGGTAAAGCTAATGCCGCCATTGTGGCTGTGGGGGTGATTCCCTCGCTGCTGGGAGATGTAGAAACTCCACCTTCGCTGTGTGATGGCTTGGTGACCCTGTTCTATAGGAAAAGAAATTGCTTTAATAAAAATAAATTAATAATTCAGACGCTAAAGGGCTGCACAGCCCCAGAATCCTCGGAGGGGAGACTGGAGTTACAAACAGTTCACAAATAATCCTGTGCAAGAGTGGCTTCAGCTGTGTGGGCAGGTGCATCCTCAGGGGTAAGGCCCTCACCCTGCCATGTAAACATTTCCTGCAGTGTGTGGAATGCCAAGGTCACACAAGAGGAGGTGGGGTACCTATCTGGCAGGCCCACCGCAAACTGCCTTGTGCCCCCAGGGTTAGAACAGGGCTTAACACACCTGGTTGCTTCAGAAATATGTACTGGCCAGAGAACTCATGGAAAGGCAAGTGAGGCCAGCAGAGGGCAGGCATGGCTGGATTCAGAAGGCCAGGGGCTCAACAGGTACCTGCAGCATTGCACAAGCCCTACCACCAGGGGGCAGTACAGAGCGAGGCCTGGGTGGACTTGAGGACCTGCTGGATGTTCCCGCACAGGGCCCTCGCCCTTGCTCCTGGCTTCAGGTCATCACACCCAAAGCTGTGTCATATGGCCTGGGACTCAGCTCCCCATTCTGGAAATCTTTAGCCAGGCATCCAGCTCTCAGTTAAAAAAAGAAAAAAAGCAAACAAGTGAAAGTGCATTCCTGGTTTTATGAAACTGAGTCCTGGTAGCTCGGGCCATCTGCCCTCACCCTGCTGTGCATGGGGCTTATTCTACTAGATGAATTCTATCCCTTCATACTTCACACTACCGATCCTGGTCTCTGGAAGCAGGAAGCGGCCATCCAGCGTGAAGGCCATGATGTAGGTGGCGACCCTGCCACTGTCCTCTTCGGACTTGAGAGCCACGATGATCTGGTCGTCAGTGTTAGGGATGAACTTGAAGGATGAGAAGCCGTGAGTGGGAACCAGCTCCCCTATGCGCCTCACAGAGATGTCCCTGAAGTCCTGGGCTGCGCTGAGCAGGAGGTTGCTGCCCTTGCGCTCATCGTCTCTCTCGCTGTAGCGCTCGTGGCTGGCCCGGCGTGGCAGGAAGAACCAGCGCTGCAGTGTGTCGCTCCAGCAGGCAGATTCATGAATGAGGTAGCCTGGGGTGGCAGCACAGACCCACAGTCACCACCTACCCTGCTAACCCACACAGCCCCTCCTCTCAAGGGTCTTGCCACCCCAGAGGCTGCCCTTTGGGGCCTCATTCACTCACAGTCCTCTAGTCTGCAGCTGCCCTCAGTTACTTGGGACAACCATGCAGCCCATGCAGCCTAGCCAGACAGTACAGCATTCCTCCCCAGGCTGCCCTGTGATTTTGGTGCTAGTCACAGGGCACACAGGTCAGAGTCAAAAGGGGGATCCTAAAGGCAGAGCAGCAGCCACGAAGCTGAGGGAAGCGCATTTCTCCCACTTCATCATGGCATAGTTCTCTGGGTCTCCCTGCTGACTTGGCCCCACATCTGACTCAGGCTTCTCCATTCAAAGGTCACACTCCTCAGAGCCCATAGGAGCAGCTTAGGCCCACCATCCCCTCCTCTGCTTAGGAGGGCTCTAGGCTAGGAACCCTTTTTGTAGATGAGGGGCCACTGTGGAGACCAGTGAGGGACAGAAACAAATGGCTCACTGGAAAGAGCCAATGATTATCATCAGCAGAACTGAGCAGGCTGTGAGAGCTGTGAGAGCTCTGAACTTGGGAGTGCGAAGAGACAGGCCTCTTACCTGGAGGCCGGATTCCGGCAGCAGCTCTCAGAGCATCGTAGCTGGATACCCAGTTCTCGTGGTCCACGCTGCCCTTGTGGCCCACCACCTTCACCCACTCAGGGTTCTCGTTCATCACCTCCCCTGTGGTGGTGGTCCACTCCTTGCCCAGGCCACCCACATAGAGCTGCTCATCCTTCACAGCAAGCCACTCAGCTTTGAAGCCTGGGACAAGAGGGGTGAGTGTGAGACCTGGGCCCCTCTCCTGACAGCTTGCCTCCTGCCTGTGCTGTCAGCGGCTTGCAGAGCGGCGTGCACAGGCGCTGGGGTCCCACTGAGGCTGGCATGAGAGGCCTAGAAAGGAGCCCGGCAGAACCCTGAGTCGAGTCCCAAAGCCCACGTGCTCTCTTTCTCTCTCCTTTCCTTCCAAGGAGCCGCACCGCCTGTTTACCAACTCAAAAACCACACCAGACTATCCGGAGATGTCACAGCTCTTCACTCACCCTTCAGCAACCCCTATCCCAGTTTGTGTGTGATGTCAGCAGCCTCGGGAGCCCGGTGAGCTGCAGCAGTCCAAGCTCTCAAGTACTGTGGCAGTTCTTTGACACATGGGCCACAGCTGATACCTAACCACTGGGCTACCCGTTTTCTGCCTCTTGCCTGCCAGGGTTGTAGACCACCATCATGTGAGTCTGTTCTTCCCTTAGCTGAGGGAGAAAGCAGGGTGACAGGGTCTTTCAGACCAGGCAGTGATTGTTCCCATCCTTGTCTTATTTCAGAGCATTGACTCTGAAGCTGCCTTTAACTGACTGACTGTACCCAACCCTCCTGCTGCAAGCCTCCTGTTGACGAAGCCTGCCTGCACTGTTCCAGCACATTCATCTTCCTGACATTCCCAAACACACCGTCTCCAACATTCCTGCGAGCTCCTTAGCCCCTGGGGAGCTAGGGCTGTGCCCACCTCTCCACTGAAAGAGGATGGCAGCTTCTGGCACATCCTACAGTAGCTCTGGAGGGACCAGCTTGGTTCCTGTACCCCCCAGTGACCTCACGAGTCTTCTGAGCTGCCTCTATGAGAAGTTTCCCCATCTGCCAGTCTTCTGACCCTTCTGGATTTACAGTCACTGCTCAGCCCTGAGCACCCCATTAGCCTGCATTCTTCCCGTTCAGGAGGAAGAACTACCCACACAACACAATTTTATAACCCTGACCGTGATGGGCACGAAATGTGTGAGTGACAGTCACGATACCTAGGTGGAGACACCCACTCCCTAGAGCTCAGCCTTGGACAAACAGTAGAGACTTTATCACCAGGCTGGGCCGAGCAGAGAGCGCAGGGGATTAATGCAGCCCTTCCACTGCAGGGAGACTGTGGTGATCTTTGGCTTGCTCTGAGATCTGCTAAAGGCTCAAGCAGCTCTGTCCTGTGGAAGCACTCCCTCCCTCTCTGCTACACATGGGGCTAATACCAGATTCTATTCCCAGGAGTCATTGCTGCTCAGCACACAGACCCTTGAACTGTGCTCAGAGCAGGGCGGGGTAGCAGCAGTTGACCTGTGGTCCCAATAAACTGAATTGGGCCTGAGATCACAGTGAGCACCTGGTGGGAGGAGCACCTCTGAAGACACGACAAGGACCAGAGTAGAGGAGGGAAAGGGAGGCAGTGCACACAGCCTTGGCTCATTCTGAAAAGGGCTCCCAGTGATCAGCTCAAACTTCTAGAAACAGCTCCATGTACACGCAGTAAAACTCTGCTAAGGGCAGAGGTGAGTGGGTGGGAGGGTGGGTCGGAGCTGAGTCAATCGTCACCTTCTGCATGTGCAGGGCCTTTAACAGGGATGTGGGTTACTTTCTGTGGTAGATCTGGACTGTCCCTTGATGGGATCCACGATCACTGAGGGAGTCTCCAGACGAGCTAACTAAGGCAGGAAACCTCACCCTATGTAGGTGGCACGGTCCACGGGCTGGGGCCTGGGCTGGGTGAGAAGGAGTAAGCTGCACACCAGCACTCACCTCTGCCTCCTGAGGGCAGTGTGAGCAGCTCCTCACCCTGCTGCCGCCATGACCCCACCCTGGTGGACTATATCCTCACACTGAGCCGTTACCCTTCTCCCCTTAAGTTACTCTCGTCAGTTTTGCCACAGCAGTAAGGAACATGACAGCTGATGGAAGCACAGCCCACAGAGAGCTCCACTCACCCTTCTCCACGGTTCCATCGCCATCGGAGAGGATCACCCAGGGTACTGCCTTGGTGCCCTCGATGTGGTAGATGACCCCTGTGCGGTCGTCCACGGAGTAGAGTCTTCCGTTGAAGACGATCAGCTCAGAGAGCTCCATGCCTCGGCCCTTTTCTGCCAGGTGGGACTCCAGGACTCCGTGGTCTTTATCCCACTCCACAGTCACCTTGTCCCCACTGTCCGACAGGGTCAGGTAGCCTTTCTTAAGGTAACTGAACCAAGTGTTTTCTTCCTGGGCCCTGGACCCCGTGTCCAAGTCAGCAATGACCGCGATTCGGTACCGAATCCCACTCGGAGTCCTCTGTGGGGGTGACAGGGGGTAGGTGTCATTGTAGTGAGAGACACGCTCCTGGCTGAGCCTCCAGCTGTGTGCATTGTGGGTGGGGGTCCTGCCCAGAACTGGGGCCTGATGGTGGGAGTACAGCAGCCAGAGGAGGGCAGCACCCACAAAGGATGTCAGGATCACCCTCCAGCGGGGGCGGAAGCGAGGGTCCGAGGCCTTGGTCATGGATGCCAGCACAGGAAGGCCCCCTACACTGATCCGGAGGGAGTGCATAGGCTCATTCCATTCCCGGTGGTCACAGGGCTGGATGGGCATCAGACTGCACGCTGGGCAGAACCTACATCGGGGAAGGGAGAGCAGTGAGTGAGCTGAGGCGGGCGCTGCTTCTCCAGCCCCCAGTCATACAGACTGAAGACAGCACCTCGTGGCAGCAGTGTCCTGGCTGAACCCCAGCCCCCGGATGAAGTCAGCTATTCTTATTCAGCAGGATGGCAAGTATTTCCAAAGTAATACACGCAGAGGAATGTGCTAGTGAGGGCCAGGGCCTGCAAGCTGGCACACTGTAACAGAGGGGCAGATCTGAGCCTGACTCAGTCTCCCCCACCACCCTGCTCTCAGGTATGGCAACACTTACTGGTGCCCAGCCTCAGCGCCCCAACAGTGCCTCCCACGCAGCAGCCTGCGGCCACCGAGCCTTTACTTCCCGGGCAGATCCTGTAATGGTTCAACACAAAGAAGCCACACGGCAGTTTTTGGTGCTGTCGCTTGGCACTTTTCTTTTATTAGCACAGCAGGTGCAGGGACTGAGTCTTGCATGTTGCTCAACTTCTAACCTGGGGCAGGGTTCTGGTTCTAGACCCAAGCTGGGCTCTACACTGTGGCACAGCTACAGTCCCAGAACACTGGAGGAAGCTGGGAAGTCCACCTCCTCACCACTACCTGCCCTGTCTGCTCCTAGCAGACCATACCAGTGGCACAAAGCCTCCAAGCCAATGCTGGCTGTGGTGGAGAGGTGTGTGTCTCCAGACAGCTGCCCAGAAGGCACAGTCGCTACTCAGGCCCTCAGTCCTTCATCTGGATGTAATAAGGCTGTTGCATACTGGCCACAGCCACTGCCTCCACAGATCAGAAGAATGGATGGGCACATGCTGCACACAGCACCTGGGAAGGCCGGGGGGCTCCTGTAGCTTTGGTCTGAGGGGTGCCCATGTGCTCCAATTACAAGCTTCTGGTATCTGGCGGCTGCAGAGGGCTCTCTGCCCATGCTGTGGGCTGCTCACAGGCCACCGGTTCCTGGATGTGCTCAGGTTTTACTAGCCAATGTCAGGTCCAAGGGGAACAGTGGTTGCAGGACCTGCTGTTCACAGCAAAGGCAGAAGGCTCTGTGCCCTTATGGGGCCGCTGTGCCGTGACCACTTTGCAACACAGCCATCCTTTAGCAATGGCTGCAGGACTGGTTACCCCCAAGTGTCCCCACCCCATGTCTGTGGTGCCTCTTTGGGACCCACTCAGGCTCCGCCTCACACAGTCTTTCCTGTCACATGGCTTCAGAGTGCTTGTGTCCCCATCCTGGACACGGTACTGAGCCCTGCCAGGTGTCAACTGCTGCCACGCTCCGAGTCCAACTTGCACCTTAGGCACTATTTCAAAATATAAGTCTGAGCTCCCCAACCTCAAGCCGATTAACCCAATCCTCCTCAGGAATGGCTGAGGCTGCCATGAACACCACAACCAAGTCAAAATTTCCACGGAAAACTGAAGAAAAAGTGCAGTTTTGGTGTGAATGTTATACTTCTGTCACACAGTAATAGCTCCCCATTTGGAAGCCTGTTCCATCCAAAACCTGTCTGACTAACTACCCACCTGCACTACCACCCCTCACCCAGACCATGCCGACAGTCTGCCCCAGTCCTCCTGAGAGCCCTTTGCCACCTAGCAGCCAGCACTACATGCCATGTGATCTTCATGGCTGCATGGTCCTCCCTGGTCCCTCCTGGTCCTCACCATGAGGGTCCATATTTCCAGAGCAAGCCTCACACCATCCCCTCACCCAGGACGGCTGCCCTGCTCTGCACAGCTGCTTCTCTCACACCCCCAGGGGTCCTGGGAGACTCCTCCATCTGCTCGCCTTTTGTTGGGAGCTTCACCAACTCAGGGCTTCCTGCTCCATCTCTGGCACCCAGCTCAGAGCTAGTAGCCAAGGCAAAATGAGCACACATCTGTTGGACTGAGAGATCAACACACGGTGAGGTCCCGTTAGTCCTTCTGAAGTGCACACTCTAGACAAAGGCCCTGACGAACAAGCCACTCAGCTGCCAGACATGAGCAGCAGGCCCAACAGACGTGACTACTATATAGAGTGCCACATACTATGACACGTCATCGTCCTTGGTCTCTGGAACCCTTCTGCTTGTTCCTGTTCAACAAACTGTACTCCTGTGAGCCACCACACCCTCACTGTTCTGCTCGTCACCAGCCCGCCTGCACCAAGAGGCTCCTGTAGCCGCCAAGGTGGGTGCGGCGCGTATGCCCACACCTCTGTTCAGGTAGAGGGACGCTATGGGCTATCCCAGGGGCTGACCCTGGTTCCTGGGTGCCTCCTTTGGTTTGCAGACATCATGTCCACTTGTCTAGCTCGTGTGCTCCTGGACTGGCCTCTCAGGGGCACCGAGGACCTCCATGTCTGTGGAGGAGCAGGTCTCCTCACCTCTGCCCCAGCACCCCACTCTCCATCTCAAAAGCACTCCACTTCCCTCCCTCTTGCAGCCATAGGCTCAGGTCTGCATGCCCAAGCTTTCTGTGGCTCTCCAGACTGTCCCTCCTAGAGTCGGGGAGTCCTCTCTGCTGGCCCACATGCTGGCAGGTGCCATGTTCTTTATTCTATGTGTCTTTGTTGCCTAGACACATCCCCTGACTGCAGGCCAGTGGGTACAAAGCAGCTTCTTGGCAGAACTCTCTGCTAGGGAAGGGCTGCCCAGCGCCCCAAACCATCCCAGGAGCAGACTGCATTCTTCTTTTTCCCCAAAGCCTTGGGCCTGGTCCTGTATCACCCAGACTTCAGACCTAATGCTCCAGAACTTCAGGGTCCAAACTGTTGCTCTGCCACTGACCAGTTAGAGACCTCAAACAAGGGCTTCCCTTTTTTGGGTCTTTCTTCCCACATCTGCTGACAGTTAAGCTGGATATGGAGGGAGAGGCGCCTGTTACCCCTTCTTACTTGCAAGCTCTCCTTACTGGTCGCAGCTTCAGAGTGCCTGGCTTTGTGTTTCAGGCCAGCCTCCACAAACCATGATTTCAGACAAGCGCAGCTCTGCCAATCCAGAGCCCATGTGTCCAGACAACACGTGTGACCTTCTACCTGGGATGCACATCCCCTCTGACCACACAAGGCCATCTAGAACCCCCTCCAAGTGCCATGCCAGCCATGCTTTCTCTGTGCCGCCCCTCTGACCATGTGTCCTCACACGGCCAGTTATCCCTACTGTGGGAGGCTGCTAATGTCCCTGTGCAGGAACCTTCCATGCCAAGGCAGATTTTGTAGGAGCGATTAAGGGCCTCAGTGAGGAGGCTGTCCAGGTGGACCCAATCATAGACATTTCTTTTTTCATTTTCAAGTCAGGGTCTGGCCTTTGCCTCAGCCTCCTGAGTGCTGAGCCTTTGCATGTGTTTTCTATAAAGGTCAGGGGGGGGGGTGTTAAAGGAAAAGGCTCGTGACCAGAGGCAGAAGTTGGGGTATTCATATGGCTCCAAGCCAAGGAATGCCTGAGAAGCTGAGAAGACAAGGATGAGTACCCTCCAGAACCTTTAGAAAGAACTCTAGGATACCCTAATTTTGGCCCTGCTTTCTAATTTGGGCGCTGTAGCAATAACAATGGAACCAAATACTCTGGGTCAATGACTCTCTAGACCTGTGAGGATGCAGGCCACCTCAGGCCACTGTATATGTCACTCTCCATAGCACCGTAGGAACAAAGACCCTCTGACAGTGGCCCAAGGACCACCCGACCCAGGCCAACCCATACCTCATGGGAAGGGATTGGCCAAGAAGACTCTCCACGAGCAAAAGGAGGGCAGGAACCTCTGGGGTTCAGGAATTTTTGGTTAAAGGATGGAAGGTACTACTATTTCCACAATAGCAAGTTTCTACCAACTTCTGTCTGTCTTCCAGAAACCTGTGAACACCCCCATCAAAGGCCCTTCTACTGGTCTTCCTCTTTTCTTCCTAGGAAGAGAACTCCAAGTCAACTGCTTTCTCACTGGTGTCCTCCAACACCAGCTGCTTAGTGCCTAAGACTGACTTGTGTCTTGTGGTTGTAGCTGTTGTCAAGGGCACAAGACAGGAGGCCCTGGTAGCAAGGGACAAGATGGACAACAGTCCCAGAAAAGGACAGGTGTGGGCTTGCCTCCTCCCAGCCCCACATAGGAACCCTGAGGCCATTATGGGATCTGCATGATTGTGACCAGTTTGTCTACCTGGCCTGAGGCACGGCATGTTCCAACCCAAGAGCTGTAGAGTCACAATTCCTTCCAGGCCAGCTGAGGGCACTGGCCCACGGCCTGCGGACCGGCTCAGAGGCACCCTGCTGCCTCTCTTCTTCCTGAGCCATCCCCGCTCCAGTGTGACACAGCTGCAAAGTACCTACCATCCAAAAGGTACAAGGTCCCTTTCCTCCCCAATCCTCCTGTGCAGTGGGTGAAGAGTTAATTATCCTCAGGCATAAAACTGCAAGGCCATCCATAACTCACTTCCTTATTAGACACACAAATCTGTCTTTCCAACCCAAAGGACATTTCTAGACGATGAAAGGAATAAGCAACAAGCAAAAAGTAAATGTTTTTTTTTTTTCCTGTGTACCCAGGAGCTGCCACGGCTGCTGGCCAAACTGTTAGGAAGAGGATGGGCAGAGAGCACCTACCTCCATGGGCATCTTTGGGTCTATACAGCACCCTGCAGAACTACAGCCAACGTGGCCTGTCTCCTTCTTGCTTTCTTCACGAATGCTCTGTGTGTGTGTGTGTGTGTGATTGTGTGTCCCGTGACAGGTAGCAACTCAAACAGGTTCAAGGCAGTTACTAAAACTGACTCCTCCCCTTCAGGACAAGGAAGGGCAGTTCTTAGTGCTACTTCCTGGCCACCACTCCTAACACCTGCAGAAAAGGGCTCCCCCGACTCCTTCCACACCAGAGTGGACAGGCCTCACACGTCTGCTCTGTTCAGTTTGACACTCACTCTCTTACCACATGGAACAGCACAAAGCCCCTGAGCAGCACAGACTGGGCAAGGAAGAGACAACCAGCCAGGGCCTTTGACGGCAGGTGCTGAGCAGCACACACCTGTGTGCAGCCACGGGTAAGGCACCTGGGCATGGAAGCTGGCTCCTGCTTTCGTGCTTTGCCAAGCTCAGCACTGTGCCTAAGAATTCCTTTCCTAACTTAGACAAGGTGGACAGCCCAGGGGAAGGAGGAAGAAAGCAAATGTTTGCGCTAGGGACTATGGAGGCCACTCCTCTTCGCTCTCATATCCTTCTCAAAGGCCAAGTGTGGCTCCGGGATCTCTGACATCTGCACCCCCCTCCCAGTGTCAAACATACAAAGGCAGTAACAATTCTCTTCTGAGTCAACTTCGGTACTGCTGGGGGCAGCTGAGTTTTTTCAGCCTGTTTTTTAGTCAGCTACTCAGGACGAGTGCGCTGGTTTCGCTGGGGCTGTAACTAATTAGTGCAGACATGACAGCTGAAACATCACACACTATTATTTTATTTCCTAGCCCTGCAGAAGTTTGGCTACGCCCAAAGGCTGGGCTCTTGGGGATGATCCAGTCCCTGGTCTTTGCCAGCATCCGTAAGCTGAGCTCAGCCCCTGCCTGTGGCCCCTTCTTCCCCGGCAAAGCCAGCAATGCTGATACCCACAGGTGGCGCTCTGCAGTCTTTCCCTCTTGCTCTTCTGCTCCCCCTTCTAGCTTTGAGGGCCCGACTGGGCCCTCACACTTCCTCCCGGGTAAGCCTCCTTGTTTTCATGTGGAATCTTCTCAGCCTCAATTCCCTTTCCATGCAATGCAGCACAGTCAGGGGCTAGGGGGCGAGGTGGACATGGCCATTTTGAGGCTCACTATTCTTCACGAAGGGACTTTTCCGCCTGGTGGAGAGGCTTTAGAACACTCCCCAGTTTTCAACCGTGGCATCACACACTGCTGCATCTGCTTAGCCTGTGTCCCCAGTGGCCCGGGAGGAACTTAGCAAAGGAGCTGCCCTCCAGGTAAAAGTGACACCCCAACCCTGGATGCCAGCATGCCTGAAAATACAGAGGTTTGACAATCCCAGTCCAACTCAGAGAGGCACTCACCCCCAGAATGCACAGCTGCACCGAGGTACCACCTGCACGGTCCTGGAGCCCCCCTTGGTGCTGGCTCCTGGGACAATGACAAGACCCTCAGAACCATTCTGATGCGTCCCACCTCACGCTCACCTGTACCTCACTGCTCACAGTTGCTCACTCTCAATGCACCAGAGCTGGTTGAGCTTCTAGCTAATTTCCTGTGGCCCTGTCCACACTGGACACAGTTGAAGCACTTCATGGCTGTGCTTACTAAAGACAGACAGGGAGAATCAAGACAAGGGTCCATCAACAGGAACTCTAAGGCCTTTCCATGCAGACTTCTCTAGGATTTTTTCTCCCAGCCTATCTGTCTTGTATTGATTTAAAGGAAAGTCAACATAAAAAGTCTCTGAAGTCAGTATACAGGGTTTTCATTCCTTCGATGTTGGCATTTGAGACAAGCTGTCCAGAAAGTCTCAACACTCATTGGTTTCTAATAGAGACCTGGTGCCACTCTACAGAGAGGAAGGGAGTGTGGACAACTGCACCACTGTTCTGAAAGAGCACACACTAATGCATTGGGACACCTACCTGTATTGTACCGTGAAGACAGCCACACAGCAAAGGATGCTGAGACACAGGTGACAGGGTCACATGAGTCTGTGGGAGCTACGTGGGCACACATGCCACATTTGGGTGGAGGGTGAAAATGTGACGCCTGCCTCCACCACTCTCTAGACCTTTCCTCCTGTCCTCTGCTCAGCAGGCACAGTAAATGGCCTGCGCTGTTGGACAGGCTGGTGAAAATGGTCTCAAGTACCGACAGCTTAAATCAATGCCTCCATAGAGCTGCTGCAGGCCGTGAAAGTAAGGTTGCAACTGTACTGGGAAGGACACTTAGCTACGTAAGATATTTTAAGTGGTAATGGGAATGAGGGACAATATGGCCACATTATGTGGTCCACTCAGTTGCAAGAAACATTGATCTTTTGAGAACAGGTCAAATGGAACAAAGAAAGCAAGGAAATTCCCAGAATTCTGTCCCTAGCCAAACGAAGATGCTCCAGGTCTCATGTGACACAAATCCCTTGTCTTATCCAGAAGGAATTAGGCTACACTCACAGGTCCCAACAGGACTGCTAGGCTGAGGTCTGAGGGACAGCTGGAAGAAGGGTCTGTGGGCCAGTCCAGAAGGACGTTCCCCAGTCGAGCCCCACAGACAAGCAGGGAGAAGGAGCTATCAACGCACCTCCTGCAGCGTATGCTCCCTTGTAAGTGTTGGCCAGCCAGGTCCCATGGACACCATGAGAGCAGGTTCCCAGGTCTACGCTCCAGGCTGGTTACTGAGACGCTCCTGAGTGACTGCTTGGGGTTGCTGGAGGTGGATGTGTGTCCTGGGTACTAAGGGAAGGAAGGGCTATTAGGTGGAAGAAGCTACCACACCAACTAGCAAGGATGGACCAGGGGATTCCAGTCTTTGAGGCTGGGAGAACCTAGCCGAGATTGGGGTTATATGTGCAGGAAGGGAATGAAGGGGTGTGCGCAGAAAGGGCAGGGAATGCGGATAGTTGGGGAAAAAAAAAAAATGATAGACCCTGCACTGTGCTGCCCAGGGGAAGGTCCAATCTTGATGAAAGCAAGAAGAGCCAGGTGGGTGGTTACAGGTCGGGAGGGGGTGGACAGGTGGGTCTGTTACAGGTGTGGTCAAGTGCCAGACTGGAGAGGCCCTGCCCAGGCCAGGTATGGAGGGAACGGGGTGTCGCTAGGGGCACTTGGAGCATGTCAGTCAGTCAAAAGAGGAAGAAGTCTCACACTACTCCTCAGCGGTATAGTATTGCACGCTCAGAGGGGGGAGGTTTCCCACACTAGCCAAAGGGGGTAAGATGTCTGTCCAGCACCGGTCACAGGCTAGCTGCGGAGGGAACCTGAGGTGCCTGAGACCAGGCCGGAAGGGTGCGGGCGGCGACAGGCCCCCAGAACACGGCGAGGGAGGGCACCCGGCCGCGGGCGCGCCGTCACTCACCCAGCTGAGAGCCTGGCTCCGGAGCCCGCGGGCTGCCGCCTACCTGCGTAGGGCCGGACAGAGCAGGCGGCCACTTCCGCCCCGCCGCGCGCTCCCGGCAGCCTCTGCTCCGCGCCTGCGCTCCACTCTGGCCGCGCGCTCCCGGCAGCCTCTGCTCTGCCCCCGCGTCCCACTCCGTGGCGCCCGGCCTAGAGCCACGTCTTCCCGGCAGCCTTTGCTCTATGTGTTTTGTCTCGTCCCCCGAATCTCTGCTCTGCGTGCCGAATTTGGGGCTGCTGGGAGTCGTAGTTTTTCGCTTGGGCCCGCAGTTGAGACCCGGAAATCGGCTGCTGGAGGTGGCTGTCATTCACCACCAGAAGCTCCAGGGTTCTTTCCCTGGTCCTCCCGGCTTTCGTCTCACGAAGTTCAGAACTTCGGACCCTCTCTGCCGTCTTAGTTCTCAGCCCCTCTTCTGAGCTCTTTCAGCCGGCCAAAGCACATTGCTGTCCAGTGTCCACAACCAGGACCGGGATCTGCGCGGGATGAGGAGGGCGGTGTGTCCTCGCCGCCGACTGCAGTCAACAACCCTTAACAACGAAGGAGCCCGATTCCTCTTTTCCCGGGCCCCTGCCTAACCCTGAGCTCTTGTGTGAACAGGCATCCTGGTACCCGTTCAGTCCCAGACAGTGGTAGCATAGCAGGACTCTTTAAGAAAGGCCCTCATCACCCAGGGAACGTTAACTCTGCCTCCAGCACGTCAGGCTTATCTCGGGGTCTCCCAAAAGCCTTCTGGGAAGTAAGCGATGCACGAGGGGGACGAATTCAAAATATACAAACCGCACGCAGTGGAAAAACAGCCATTTCTTACACCCCTGCCTGTCTAGCAGCCACGGTTATTGCTAGATTCTTGTGATTTCTCTAAGAGATGTCCTATGGGACACAAGTAACGGTAGAACATATACTAAATTACTTGTTAAAACGGAAACTTGCTGGGTTCCTTCCTCTGTGCTTGGATAGGGGCCAGATCTTTCTGAATTCGCTGATCTTTCCTGTCAGACCAAACCGAGTCCCAATCACACCCTTTATCAGTGATTTTTCCACTCAGGGAATAACAGATTACTCTCAGTATTTTTAAAGCACCCCGGATACTCCCTCCTATTCCCAGCTCCTCTCCTTACACCCCTACAAAAGCACATGTAGGGATGGTCCAGAATAGCGTGCTCATCATTCTCTTGCCTTCCTCTGCTGTCTCAGCACATAGCTGTGTGGCTCTAAATAATGTGTTTCTTAGTTCTGCCTGGTTTAACCTTTATAAGATGAAATAAAACTTTGAGGTAGATGGCAGTCAGCGTTCCATGGCAGTTTAATTTTGTCAGTTTAGTGGCACCAGAAGTTCTCTCCTTGCCTGATTACACATGCACATGGCTACACACACACATTAATATATGTTTTGTTTTGATTGAAACAGGGTTTTATTGCGTAGCCCAGGCTGGTTGCAAACCTGCAATGATCGTTCTTCCTCAGCTTCCTGAGTGAGATTACAGGTGTGAGTCCTGAGATGTCTGGTGCTTCACACACACACACACACACACACACACACACACACACACACACACACAGATGGGGGAGAGCATTTGTCCTGTGTGTGTTTATATATTCACAGGTGCACGTGTGTGTGCATGCCCCCAAGAGGCCAGGAGACAACCTCTGACATCAGCCATCTTGTTATCTTGTTTCTGGATGGCCTGGCTACCTAGGGAGCCTCAGGACTCAAGTGTTTCTGTCTCTCTTGTATTGGGGTTCTATCACCACACTCATCTCTTTTGTAACATGATCTCTGGGGGTTGAATTCATATCTCCGTGCTTGCAAGGCTGGCACTTTGCCAGCTGATTCATCCTCTCTGCCCTGATATATCTTTTAAACCATTCACAATTCTTTTGTGGCTACGGTAATATCTCTTTAAGAAGGAATCTGTTTCACCCTCATTGCTTTTGTGCAATACTGATTTTTTTTTTGAATGATGTTTCCATAGATATACAGGTCTTTTTGGGGATATTAGGTTGCACTGGTAGACTCTTCTGGTCTGCTTCAGCGGTTCTTCATCATTGTCTCTTTAAGCCTTCATAAGTTGTACCACACACCCCTGCAACTACCCAGCAACTGGCCCTTAGGGATACTGCATAGAATTGCCTTGAACCTGTAGACTAGGAGACCACTGAGGTTTTTATTATATACAACTCTTCTACCCAAGACCATAAGGAAGCTATTTTATTCCACCCTAAAATTTCTTCTGGAATACCTATAATTTCATATTTCAACAATGCTTTAGGGAGTAGCCTTGTGTTATTAGAGAAGAGCTATAAAACGTATCTATGATAAATTCATGGAAGAAAGACTGCTGGCCCAGAGGGTGTGTTTGTGCAGGAGTGAGTGCATATTCTCCAAAGCAGCTGGCCTAAGGGTGGTCCTGGAGGTCAGCAGCGGCCCCATGCTCAGCCACACCAGGTGTGGTTTGAGTTTCATTCTTCTTTGCATCACCAGAGACTTCAATCATAGCCTCCGTACGGTCAGGAAGTCAGAAAGGTATGCTGACTCTACTCACCCCCATAAGGTAGCCACACTCCAGGAACAAAATGCAGGTAGCAAGAGAATAGCATGGCAAATTCACTAGATCTCAGTCTAAGACACGAGAGAACCTTCAGAGATGAAGATCCTAAAACCCAGGGAACCCAGGAAAGACTTTTTTTTTTTTTTTTTTTTTTTTTTTTTTTGGAAACATACAGCCCGGGCTATCCTCAAACTAGCTATCTATCTGAAGATGACCCAGAACTTCTGATACTCCAGCCTCTACCTCCCAGGTCTCTGGGATTACGGGTGTGCACCTGTCACACCTGGTCTGTGTGGTACTGAGGAGGGAACCCAAGGCTCCTTGCTTCATGCCTGTTTAGCAAACACTACCAGCTGAGCTCCAGCCTGGGATATCTGCGCTTGTGCTTGAAGGAGGAACTTCCTATATAAAAGTGATTGGACAAAGGGGTGGGATCTGATGGCGTAGGCTGGGTGGGAGGACCTAGCAGGGATGTTTGCTCAGGGCTTCCTTGACCTCTCACTGCAGCACTACTTCCGCCAGGCGTGGAGCGAAACTCCTTCTGAGATGAAGTTCATGTGATCTATCACCAAACAAGATAGGTCAGAAAACTTTTAAAAATATATAAACTTTCTTTTTTTAAATTGATCTTATTTTGCATACGATTGTTTTGCCTGCGTGTGTGTGTGTGTGTGTGTGTGTGTGTGTGTGTGTGTGTTCACCATGTGCTTGCCTGGTGCTAATGGGAGTCAGAAGAGGGAGTAGGATCCCATGGACTGGAGCTACAGATGATTGTGAGTCTCCATGTGGGTGCTGGGCATCAAATCAGGGTCCTCTGCAAGATTAGCAGATGCTTTTAACTCCTGAGCCATCTTTCCAGTCCTACAGGTAAAAAAGAAACTTTTAAAAAGAATGTTTCATTGTGTCACCTGACAGTCTCATACATGGATACAGCGCATCTTGACACACCTGCTTCCAGCTCCATCTTGGCTCAGTGCTGCCTGCAGGGAGGTTGGCTGGTCTTCCTGGCTTGGTGCTATGGGTAAGCATAGCTGTTGTGGGTTCCTAACTGCCACAGCTGTGTGGTATCCAGGAGATGGCATGTTACAGCACTCCTCGTGTCTTCCAGCTTTTACATTTTCCCGCCTCTTCCTCCATGATGTTCCCTGAGATTGTGAGGAGTGGTGGCTGGCTGGCTGGCTGGATGCCCCGTCTAGGACTGAGCACCCGACAGTCAGTCGCTTATCCTCCATACTTCATGGGTCAGAGAACTTCTTCAGCAGCCACATGGAGAGGTGGAGAAGCTTAAGGGGCATTCCTGGGTGTCATGGCTTTATTTCTGGGAGAGAGGTTCTACTTTCTATGAGAAGAGAGGAGTAGAGACAGGAGGGCTGACAGAGGTCGAGAGAGGTTTTGCTCCCAAGAGCCACTCCACCGCACCTCATTCAGTCCAAAGGACTCCACACCATGTCTTGAGGTACCATGCTCTGTGCCCTGGCATCTCTGCCACAGTTGGGAGGAAGTGAAGAAAGGACAGACACATAGACAACACAAACAGAAAAGCTGGTGTCAGCTGGGCTGCATGCATCAACCCCCAACCTCAGTACAGTACAGCACAGGGAGAGGAGTTAGCCAGTCCTGCTTGGCCTACAGGGAGGGCTCTGGAGGCCAGAAGTCTTAGGCTGTAAACAGGCAGCAGGAGGAAGCCGTGGTTGCTAGTTTCTGTACACACTGGTCAGTGTGGACAGGATGGACCCCAGGATGAGCCTGAGCACTGGGGTCCTTTACACAGCCATGCTCATGTCAACAATGCAAGTCGCTCAGGCCTTCTCTCACTCAGGGATTCCGCTGCCCTATACACCTCCTTTCAGAACATTTTTGTTCCTGTGGCTCTGTATAAACAGTTGTTCACAACTGGGTGCCATGGCACACGTCTGTAATCCGAGCACTCTGGTTGGTAGAGGCAGGCGAATATCTGTGAGTTTGAGGCCACCTTCGTCTGTAAAGTGAGTCCAGGACAGCCTTATCCTTGGCTAAGGATACACAGAGAAACCCTGTCTTGGAAAAAAAAAAAAAAAAAAAAAAAACAGTCCTTTCCTCCCACCATCCCTTTCAGTCTTTCAGAGCTCTTAGTTAAGTGCTTAGGACTGTGCCTTCCACCAGGGGGCGATCTCACTTTATCAGGTGAAATTTTGTATCAGGTTCGTTCTGTGCCTCTCTGTTGGTAGCTGGAAACCTGTATTACCAAAACAGAGGAAGCCAGCAGAGATGGAGAAATCGAGGCACAGGGAGGTTAAAGGCTGGGTGAAAGTCAGAAGGCAGGCTGACTTTGGAGAGGGGCAGCCCTCACACTTTTTTCTCCCAGCTGTGGGGTCCTGTGCAAGCCATTAACCTGGCCTGCCCATGCAGCTGCCAGTCCTGAGCTCCACCTGCCTGAGCCTCCCAGAACACAGGCGGCGCCGGGCCGGAGCCATCAGCGCAGGCCAGTGGCCAGTACTGGGTCTGGACGCCAGGTTTCCTTTCCCATTTCAGCAACTTCTGTGGATCTCTGAGAGGCTCCCCACCCCCATCTTGGCAGTGGAACACCAGCAATGGGAGCCTGCCCGTCGCCCTACCCTTCGGAATGGAATTCAAAAGTTTGCAAAACCAGCCTTTGCCTGTGGGGCAGCTGGGCAGACGGGGCCCAGAATAGCTGGGTTGGCAGGATGTTAGGGCCCCAGTGGGAGAAGTCATGGAGCTGCTAATGACATGCTGTGTTTATCAGAACCCAATATCGCCCGACTGCAGCCGGCTTCGAAGCCCATCCAAACAGTCAGAAAACAGCAGCAGGGATGACAAGTCCCCGGAGGAGGAAAGAATTGCCAAACAGGGGCTGGGGAGATGTTTCAGCAGGGGAAAGCAGAGCCTCTGTTGGACAAGCATGGGGACTGAGTTCTTAAAGGTAATCAGATGAAAAGCGAGCAGCATGCTCCTCTGGCCTCTGACTCTTTGGTCTCTCTCTCTTTCTCTCTCTCTCTCTCTGACACAAACCAAAACAGATACACGACATACACACTCGCATACATATATGCAAAAATAAACAAGTAAATATAGCACCACGATGCATCAGAGAACAGAGTGGACCCTTCATGGTAGGCCACAGGGGTTGCTCCACTGGCTGCTGTGTTCTCCCAGGAGCTGCCCTGGTCTGAGGAAAGAGAGCCACTTGGGAATATGGAGGAAGCCTTTGATGCTTGGCCCAGACCCCCTCGCGTAGGTGCAACAGCTAGGGAATTCAGGGCGGATATAGCACCGAACTTGACAGGAAGATCCTGGACGGGTGCTGATGGCCTCTGACCCAGGCTCTGCCGACCCAGCACTGCTGACCCAGGCTCTGCACCATCTTGGACTTCATGTATTATGTTGTCGTTGCGCCTCATGACCCTTGCCTTAGCCCAGAGGGACGGCTTTGGCTCTTTGGGAAACGCTCAGATTCTGGTTGCTTGCTTTGCTTGTGGCAGGGATGGAGGGAAACCAGGAAATCTGCAGTTTCCCTGTCTTGCTAAATTTCCTGTCTTTCTCACAGTTTCAAAGCAGAAATGAAGTTGATGACAAAGGGCTTTAGGAGTCTGGCAAGCTGTCCAGCTCAGTGACACATTTTATTTCTTCTGTTACACTGGTGTGTGTTGGCCTTGTGAATCCTCTTTGCCTGTCTGCCTGTTAGATTGGTTTGTGGGTTACATTGACACCCCTTCAGACACTCCATCTCTAGTCCCATCCCTCAGAATTTCCCATGCCTCAGAGCCTTCTGACTCTCAGGATCCTGGGAAGCCCTAGGACGCCTTTGCTGTGTTTAGTACCATGGTGCTCCTCTTCCAGTTTCTACCTCAAAGAAAATGAATAAGCCCCTTTCAAATCTCTTGGGAGTCGTGGGGGCTCAGCCTAAGAGCCTTGCAGGAGAGAGGTTATACTTACAATATTGGTATTTACAGATATTCCGGCATTTTCTGCTCACTTCAACGTTTTTTATCAATCACGTGAGAAACTTTAGGGTCATGGTTGCTTATCCAAAATTCCTGAAATACGCCAGGCATGGTAGTGCACATATCTAGCCCCAGAAACTGGAAGGCTGAGACAGAAGGATTGCTGCTAGCCCAGGTTGCTGAGTGAGGCTCTGTGTTGGGGGTTGGTCTGATGCTCTGTGTATTCAGATGCTGAATTCTGGGTCCTGGGATCTGGTTTCAGTCTGGATGAGTGCATTGTCATATACAATGATCAGTGTTGTGTAAACTTTGCTCCCCAGTTATCTTTGATTGGTTAATTAAAAAAAAAAAAAGCTGGACAGCCTGTAGCTGGGCAGAAGAGAGAGAAGACAGGTTAGCAGAGCTTCCGTTCATGGTCTTGGAGTTTTAGGTAGGGACACACACACACACACACACACACACACACAGAGAGAGAGAGAGAGAAAGCATGTGGTGTGAAACAGTGACCTCAAGAAGGACTGATATGGCAAGTAATCAGGGCACATGGGAAACAGCAAGACTAGCATAGAGGATTGGCATAATTGGGTATCTGCCCAGTTATAGTGTTTAAAGCTCATTAACAACCTGTAAGTCTCTGTCTCATTTATTTGGGAGCTAGAGCAGGAGATTAGAAAAGTCTCCCCAAAATATAAAATACTGTTTTAGCTCTACCTTGAAAGAAAGCCCAGAAGCAAGAATGGGGAGATGGCTTAATTCTTAAAGTGCTTTCCTTGAAAGCACCAGGACCCAAGTTCCATCCTGGAATTCATGTTTAAAAAACTGTGGTAGCAAGTTTATAACCCAGGTGCTGGGAAGGTGGACACAGGCAGAGACTTAGGACTTGCTGGCCAGCCAGCCTTGCTCATATTACAGGTCCCGGAATAGAGACGCTGTGGACCAAGATTCAAGGTTTTCCTCTGACCTCCACACCCATGCTTCCACCCATGTACATGCACTGAAACACACATGTCCACCCCCACACAACTAGAGAGAGTAAATAACTTAGAGTAAATAAGTTAGTTTAGTTACAAGTCAGCGTGGACTACATAGCAAAACAAACAAAAGAACAAAACAAGGCAGGTGCCTGCTGCCCAGCCTGATGACCCGATTTTGGTCCCTGGGACCCACATGGTAGAAGAAGAGAACCAATTCCTGCAAGTTTTCCTCTGACCCTCCACATGTCCAGTGTGATATGTGTATGCGCACACACACACACACACACACACACACACACACACACACACACACAAGCAATTCTGCTGGTTGGTTGGTTTACTTATTTATGAGACAGCATTTCACTTTGTATCTCTGCCTGGCCTGAAACTTGCTATGTAGACCAGGCTGGCCTCAAATTCACAGGGTTTCGCCAACCTCAGCCTCTCAAGAGCTGGAGTTAAAGGCATGTGCCACCATACCCGGCGAATACCTGTGATTCAAACAACAACAACAAAAAACAATAAATCAAAAACAAACTAACCAACCCCCACCCCAAACCTCCCAAATACAAAAAAGATCAGAAATCTTGGTCTCTCCTAAGTTTGACATAAACTTGTACAATGTGACTTGCACTGTCTTGCAACCTCGTGGCTTTCACTTATTGCCCTGAAGACCAGTCAATTACTCGGGGCTGCTCCAAAGCCCCTGGGTTAGCTGCTCTCTGGGATATTTCCATCTTGCTCTGAGTACATCTGGCCCAGCTGACTCCAGATCAGAGATACAGAACCCATCTTTGCTTTACCCGTAAGGAACCAAGCCTGTGTGGTCGGCTACCATTCCCAGCTTCACTGAGGGAAGTCATCCGGGATGCAAAACCTCCCACCAGAACAAGCCAGCTGCACAGCGTTGCCCATCATCTGGTACGTAGCTAAGACTTCCAAGACTCTCTATTGTCCCCGAAGCAGCCCAGTAGGGGTGAAGTGGCCTTTCTGCTTCTGCTTAGCTGCTCTCCCTTACATCTCTATTGCAAAGGATGTGGGGGACAGAGTGACAGGGGACAGAATGGGTCCACGTGCTGGGTGGGAAGTTTCCCGTCACTTACAGGAATGAGGAGAATCTTATCCTTGTGTTTTCCTATATGGATAACCAAGAATGCGATTTTGCTCAGCCTTAGATACGTGCCAAGGAACAGGAACTATCCCCAGGGATGCTAGGCCAGGGCAGGTCACATCTCTGGCCGGAACACATCTACTTATTCTCGACAAGTGTCCTTAAATGCTCCCCTTGGTACCAGAGGGAACATCTCTGCTTTTCGTGGGGTTGGCACTTGGATTTGGAATTTCTGGAGAAGCCTGTGGGAATTCACATTCTGGGATCTGCCCTCTGCTGACCTATGCCCAGCTTTGGGAGGAGATGATGTGGGCTTGCACCTCCTCCCTTCCTGCTTTGATTTTGTTGGCTCTTCTTCATGCTGGCACAGCAAAGAATAGCAAAGTGCAGCCTGTTTGTTTTGCTTGGGATATCCCAAACCAGCATCCCTAATTTTACATCTCCTGCCTAGAGAGAGAAGGGAGGAAGGGAGGGGTGGGAGGAAGGCATGGGGAAAGAAAAGAGACACAGAGAGAGGGAGAGACAGAGAGACAGGGACAGGGGCAGGGGCAGGCTCTCAGAGCCTGATGTCACCAGGGCAGTTTTATTTCTCAGTCCAGATCCTCTCTCTTCTAGAGTTGTGATAAGATTGCAGAGCAAGCCTTCTGACTCACTATTTGGATGTCGAAAGGAGGGACTGTCCGGAGGAGCCTGGGGCACAATCCCCACGGGGACAGATTCATCGGGGCATGTGTGTGAGATTAAGGAATGTCCAGAGCAGAGCTGCCTAGCAGAGGCTGAACAAGCACCTGGTCCAGCACTCCAGGGCTTCTTTGGAGGACCTGAACCTTCCGGAAGCTGCTTCCTCACCTTTGCCTAACAGGCTTCTCTGGGCTCTGAACTGAGCAACAGAGCTATCCCTTTCCAGTACGTACTTGCATGAACACACAACTTGCCATTTTGTTACAAAGTGATTATGGATGCCAACTGTACCCATAGGTCCCTGCTGGGAAGCGTGTCTTGGATGCTGCCAAGGTTGGGACTCGGGGTTGCCCATACTCCTGAGTCAACTCCCCACCAGCAATTAGCTCAATCAGCCTTTCTGCAGTTCTCTGTCCTGAGTGGGGCAGCCATGTCCTGGGCTCTCGGCCACCTCCACATCTGGAGAGACCTCTAGATAAACAGAAGTATTTGCCCTCATCCCCTCCAAGCCTGCACTAGCTCCCCAGGGTATCCAGAAAGAAGGAGAGCCAGCCAGCCGGGCACACACACAGTTAATCCTCTAAGGCTGCTGTTTGGATAAAAAGCGCTAGGAGCGTTCTAGGCTCCTCGGCAGCTCACATCTGGCTGGGGTTTGCTCTTTGTATTTGTCCCGCTTTCTTCCTCTCTTACTTTACTTTTGAGAGAAAGCACGTTTCCGCTTCTGGCCAAAGAGACCTTGGAGGCAGCTGAGGAGATAAAGGTGTTGGGACCGCTGTGGCTTGCACCTCCCCCCTTCCTCTCCTTTCAGTCCCCCCCCTTCGGGGGGGGACTTTTTCTCCCTCTGGCTCTCTCTGTCTGCGTTGACACGTCTGTGCTTCCCTCTGACCTGGCCTAGAAAAGGCTCAGCCCCTGGGAGATGCTCTAAGAGACAGCGTCCTGAGAGCCCTGAGAGGCAGGAGGATTCGGTTGGCACAGCCGGCTCCGCTGGAAGGAGGTAAGTGGCCTGGCCATCGGGTGGACCAGGAAGTAACTCGGTGCCTCCGAACTCTGTCTTCGTGGCTTCATCTGGGCACCAGAGCAGAGCTGAACAGACACCTTCCCTGGGGTTAGAGGTGATGTGGAGCTTATGGCAAAGGGGCAGAAAGAGCAGAAGTTTGGGGGACAGCATTGTGCTGTTCTTGCTAACTCCCCCTGCACAGACTGGCTCTGCAGAGGCAGCCGCTGGGGCTCCCTGGAGCGTGCAGGGGGCGGGCTCTTTGGCAGATAGGATGCTGACAGGTCCAACTACACCTTCTCTCACTGTTTTCTGGGATGTCTCCTTTTTCTGGGTGCTTTTAGAGGGTGTGGAAGAAGAAGGAGCATTTCTGTCCCCACCTGGTTCCACCCCACCCCTGCCATATCACCTGGCCGGATGGGATCCAGGTCTGTCCCATCTGTTAATGGTCAGCTGGAGCCCCGACACTGAACAGGAAGTGTGGACTTTGGCCCCCTTTTCTAAAAGCCTTGCTGTTCCTGGAGGACATCCAGCCTGGGCAGGAAAAACCAAATATCCCCTCTCCGTGGACCTTCCTGGGAAGTAAAAGCTGCCTGCGGTGCTAAGAGTGGCCCCGCGCTAGGGCTCTGGTCCCCAGGATGCTCCAGCACCTTTGCACAGCCCCCGTCCACCCTCTGCTCACACATCTGGGCATCTCTGTAGGTGCAGACGTCATCCCCGCCCGGCTAACCTGAGTCCCACCCTGTCTATCCCTGGGCCCGCCCAGGCTGCTCCCTTCGCTGGAAAGCTAGACTTCCCACTGCTGTTACTCCCTGCTCCGCCCTTGCCTCTCAGAAGACAAGTGGGAGGGAGCTGCCTCCCTGATTCCTTTCTGCCCACCCCACTTCCGTGTTTCTTGGAATGGAGACCATGGTACATGCTTTTCCAGCTTTGACAACAGGGTTCAGGTTGTGTGTGTGTGTGTGTGTGTGTGTGTGTGTGTGTGTGTTGCTTAGCCTGTGAAATGTCCTGGCTGCGTCCGCAGTACTGGAAACAGCAACAATCAAATACCAACTTTGATTTTCACTGAGTGTGGTGGCTTGAGACTGTGAGCCAGGAAGGCTGTGGGTCTGAGGCCATCCCGAGCCGGATAGCGAGTGGATGAGTTCTGTCAGCCTAGGCGATAGAGTGAGATGCTGTTCCAAAGTACACAAAAAGAAAAACAACAAACAACAAACAAAAACCTGAGAAAGATCCCTGGGATCCCCTGGGAGTGAGCGACGTCCTTAGGAACTACTTTTTATAGTGCACCATCTGCTGACTTCCTGGTGCAGTGTGGGAGATCTGCAGTCCCTGCCAGGACCCTGGTGCTCGCTGGAGAGGAGGAACCTGCAGAGGGAAGCAGAGGGCTTCCTCTGGGGGTCCAAGGGGATCTTAGCTGCTCACTGTGCTGCACAGCTCTGCAGCCAAGGCAGGGAGCATCCCAGCTAAACGGTGTCTTCACTCCAGAAGAGAAAGAGACCCAGCTTGGATTCCCTGCCCAGGCGGGAGATACTGAGCTTTTCAACTGCCCTCTTTTACTTCCTAGAAACTCACACATGCATGCTCCCCTCTCCCTCTCTCACCCCCCAACTCCATGAAGTCTAAAGAGGTGTTCTGAGGGTCATGGAGACCAGGCTGGCCCCGCCGGCAGGCCTGTCCTAAAGGTTGAAGACAGACTACTGTTCATTCCTGGCTGTAACCTCCCTATTCAGAGCAACCAGCACAGCATTAATTTTTTTCTGAACACACTCCTTTCTGTTATTCTTCTTGGTGCCTGCTTTCCCCCGTGGCCCCCCTCTCTCCCTGTAATTAGCATGACTCATAAACCAAATATTCTGGCATTGAATTGCACCCATCAAAACAAAGATGAAAAGAATTTTGTAGAAACTATGGGTCCTGCCTCAGGGCACCCTCACCCATTGTTTCTTATCCTGGGGGGTCAGACTTTTTGTGGATCATAGTTCCTAGAGCTGGGGTTGGCTGAGGCGCTAGGGTTTAGGTGAGGGTGAGGTGGCAGTGTGAAGCCAGAAGGACAGGAAGATGACCACTGCAGGCTATGGCTTCTGACCGACCACCACCCTCTCTGGAGGAAAAAGACTGTTTGGGAGCAGTCTGGGTTCTGGCCTTGAAGGACCCAGAGATGTTGGAACATGGATGGTGGCTCCTGGGAACTGTTATATAAACTCTAGTTTTAGTCACTGAAAACCTGTCTTCCACTAATGTCAAGTGGCCCACAGTAGCTGTCTGGACAGGACCCTGCCACCTCCCTGACTCATTCATGAGGTGCAAGAGACATTCTGGCTTCTCCGGAGAGCAGTTTGCTGAAAGCCCGAGTGTTCCACGCACTCTGCTAGTGCTCTGGCACTCAGGGCCCTGCCCTGGGTCCTTGCCCTGGCAGGACCTCTGGTGGCAGTGTGTTCTTGGAAGTCTTCAGAGGTGGCTCCTCTTTCCTTCCTTCCCAAGCAGGAAGGGACATGTGGAATCCCTGCAGGCCTGTTTGGTTTGGGGAGGGACAGGCCTGCACACAGGGTGAGGTCTCTGAGCCTGAAAGGGCGCTGTGTCTCAAAGCCCTGGTTAAGTAGCAATGGCCTGATGCTGGTGTCCTGCCAGCAACAGCTCTTCATGTACCAGCTGGTACCCATCCCAAGTCACCCTTCCTGCCCTCACTGGGATTTGATGCTTCAGAGGCCTTTGCCTACCCACAGTCCCCTCCTTGGGCACCTGCCCATACTGCCACCGGGACTCCATGCATTGTCTAGGCCTCTGTGTCTCACCATTGTCCTGGACCCTGTTGAAATTTCCCTTGAAATGAGACAGTTGAGGAGCAGACAGCAGGGAGGCAGCAAGCAGAAGCCCAGGCAGCAAGGATGGGAGAAGAGCCAGGCAAGAAGGACGGTGCAGAGAAGCCAAGCTCCTGGTGCCCGGGGCTGGGCCAGAGATGCTTCTGGCTGCTGCGACCACATGTGGTGGAGCATCCCACATCCTGGGGCTACAGTTCCTCCCCAGCAAGGGGCATCTGGTTACCAGCTGCTTGCTGCCCTGGGCACCAGGGCAGGAGAAGAATCCCTTAGGGGAGCCACCAGCTTTGGGTGGGCCTAACACATGTGCAGACCAGGAGCTGGGCTGGGTCTGAAACTCCCTCCCTTACGTACTGGGGCTGGCTCTTCACACTGGGGTTGTTGCCGGGGTTTTTAGGGCCAGAGCTTGAGCTCCTGAAAGCCCCTTCAGCCGCTGTCCTCAGCAGGGCGATTACAGAAACAACAGTGACAGCAGACAGGTTCATTCAGTGTGGATGAGTTAGGGAGAGCGCATAAAGAGGTCTGGCAACCCCCACGTCTGTCTCTGGGGTCCTAACGTGAGGTTTAGATCTATATAAAGGGCAAGAGGAACACAGAGCTAAGCTGTCCTGGTCAAGACATAGTGGCCAAGGTGTGATCCTGCCAGTCGCTGATCCATCGCTGTTTCTTCCTCCAAAGAACGAGACACCCAGCAGGGGTGGGAGATCCCAAATTGTCAAGATCTATTGTCACAATGGCCTACTAGCCAAAGGGAGAGGCCCAAGTATCTCTTTGGAAGATCTTCATTTTTACCAGGTTACTGAGCTGGGTCCTTATAGCTGAGTTCCGGTGGAAGATGGGAAGATCTAGCATGTTTGGGGTGCCACGGGGCTCCTGACTCTTGCAGTATGGCAAGCCTCTCCCTTCCTGGGCCTGGAGCCTCATGAAGACCCATCTATGGGAAGGAGCGGTAGGGTTTGCAGAGCCTCAGCTGCTGGGAAGGTGACTAGGGCAGAGCCCCAAGGCTAATGTGTGAGTGTGTGTGTGCACACTCGAAGGTGCATGCAGGTGTGTGTGTGTGTGCGTGTCTAGACTAGAGCCCTGAAGGCTATTGGGAGCTGACTAGATTCGAACCCAAGCCGCTTCTCTACCCCATGACCACTGGGATGGGGCTTCGAGGCCCCTCTAATCCTGTAGGCATGCTGGCTTTCATTGTTAGTGTTGTTGATAGTAGCAGGGTCTCCCTGTGTTTGTGGGGCTAGCCCTGGACACCAAACGATCCTTCTGGCTTTAGCCTTGTCTGCTGACTCAGGCTGGCTCCTCCACGGGCCACTGACAGGCAGAGGAATCCCCGTAACCCAGTGCATATGCCCCGCATTCTTCAGAGCTCACTGACATGCTATTTTCTCCATGTATTAAAAGCAAGATCCTAAAAGTGATTCGAGGATCAGGCACCTCCCACTTGAACATGTGAAGGGAATGTCCTTGGTCACTCTATGCCCAACTACAGAGTAAATTCTAGGGGATGGCTCTTGGCATCAGCCTGCTGGTGCCACAGAGGTTTCTGCACATCGAACCCAGAGAGCCAATGTTGGATCCTGGTGCCCATACTGTGCCTGGCACGCTGGAGGTGACCAGCAGCCCTACAGGGAATGATGGCCACCTGTCATCTCACGGTGGCTGTGGTGTTCCAGCTGTCACTGAGCAAGCTAATGGGGGGGCACCCCAAACACAAGCCTAGTGTGTGGGAGCTGCCGGTGCCCAAGGGAAGGTCAGCATCTTCTTGCTTGTGGTGCAGGCATTCACAGACACTCACTGTGAGGCGTCAGCAGCAGGATGACGTGTGTCCCAGAGGCTCCGTGTGAGCCATAAATTCATCACAGCTTCCCCCCTCCCCCGCCGCCTGTCAACTTTTCCTATGCATAGCCAACTTCCCTGGAATAAACAAAAGGCTCTCATGGTCCCCAGGGTAGGGCTTATTTTGTCTTTTCTAAGTGGAAAATAATGTGTACTTACTGTGAAGAAAATGATGGGCTTGTTAGAGGGGAAAAGAGAGAAACCCAAGGAAGCCCGGATAAGAAAGTGTCGGCAGTGCCGCTCCCAGCCTCTGCTGTGGCTGTTGGGAATAGCTGGGTGGATGGGCTTCAGGCCGCTGGTGTGTGGGGGTATGAGAACACCACACTTTTAACCTGCTCTTTCCCT